ATGTAAGACTTTTCTACTTCAGTTGCAAGTTTCTGTTAATTTGGCACTGATCCTCAGAATTAATGGCCAATTTGCTTTGTAATTTATAGGGAACTGAAAGGTAATAGCAGTGGGCAACAATTGGGAAATTATTTTGAGCTTTTTTGAAGGAAGAAAATGTAATTTAATGTGATTTTCTCACTTAACTCATTCATAGCTGTCTATCCTAGGAAAGGGGAAGCGCGGCACTTACCATTTACAGAAGGGGAAAGGGAAGCACAGATTAAATAACTGGTCAAGGTCACACAGAAGTCAGGGACTGTGCCAAGAATAGAACCCATTTCCTTGATTCCCAGGTCTCTATGCCTGAGACTGCGTAATAGATATTCTGCAGGTACATACATAGACTCAATAAGGAATCTCCACAAATGCTAAAGACAAATGCTGTTGATCTTTGTTTTGCACATAGTTGGTGCCTACTCAATACTTGGGAGGAGCAGGTGGTTGACAGTATATTTAGATTGAATACAAATTTAGACTGAATGCCAATATTTAGATGACACTGATGAGGTACAAAATTTGTTTGTGAGATGTGAGCAGTATTAATGCAATGTAAGTAATAGTTTCTCACTACACATTTTGAATGGTCATCACAGATACCTTATAAAGAGAATGAGATTTTTACGAAAAATCCCATATTAGCTAAGATTTTTTTTTCCATTAGAGGGGGAATAACATGGCATGTATAACACTGATAGCTTTAATAATTGATCAGTGTTATTTATTACTCAGAATAATGATTTGTGATAGGTGGGGAGAGACAAAGTGGCTTGTGATCGAAAGAATGTGTGTTCAGAAAACAAAACTGCAGTCACAAAAGCTGCAGGCTTTGACCTCTCTAAAGATCCAAACGTGGTCAGCTTTTTAAAAAACATACCTTACTTTAAAGAAGAAGAAAAGATAGCCCCCCAAACAACCAGGTGGGCGCTGGACACTAATGGAGGAGGTGGTCAGAGATAATGGAGACTGGGAGGAGGGTGATCCAGCGGACCCCCCCCCCCCGCCTCCACCTTGTGTTTGTGGGAAGTAGGCCAAAGAGAGCTCCAAGCCCCATTCGGGCCATAAAATCCCCCCCTCAGTTACCTGAGGGTCTCCTTGGTCTCGAACATTCATAAATAAAAGCAGCCTTTCAGCCTTAGATCCTGCCTGAGAAAATAGTGATCTGGAGTCCAAACAGATTATGCCAAGATTGTCCTTTCCCTATGTGCTCCTGGGTTCCTCAGATCCACCCTTTCCATCCCCCAGTGAGAGGCCCCCTCCCTCCAGTCCTGTACTGTGACTTGTTCCTTTAGTGACCGACCTCCTTGCCATGGGCAATGTCATCTAAGCAGTATTTCCTGTAGGACTGACTGTACCAGTGCTGCGGCAAAGCTCGTCAAGAACCCTGAGATCAGAATAGCTCCTGGCTTGGGAGGTTTAGTATCCCACTCAGTTCTTCAAAATGTGAAGTTCTAGAAATCGAGTGTGGAGTGGGCTTCCCACTCAGCCCCACCCCAGCCTCAGCCAACCCACAGTGCAGAACCACTTCCTCCCATGACGGGAAACAAATGAATGGGACAGACCACAGCAACTGGCAGAGTTACTTCATTTCCCCATGACACACTTCTAATTATTCTTCCTTTTACTTTTGCCCAACTCTTCTATAGTTCCTTAATTTCTCTTCTTCTGAAAAGTCGTATTTTCCTTAATTCTGCCCATCCCCCCACTAAATTTCTATTTTTTAAGCACAAACAAAATTGTATTTTACTTTCCCAATTTGTGTTCATTTCTCAGAAATGTTTGGTAAAATTTCTCACTTTTGTGAAACTAGCACTACAGTAGGCAGAAATTTCCTGTTAAGTTCATAACAGTTCTTGGGTCTTACTTAGAGATAGGTACCCAGTGCTAGCAATTATCACAACCTTGCATTTCCATGGCACTCGGCACCTTTCTGCTCACGTTATGTCATTGGATGCTCGTTTTCTCTCTGTGAAGTAGGGATCTTATCTAATATGAACAGAAGCTGCAAACTTCACACAGGGAAGGTACTATGAGGTTAACACCCTGCGGAGGCTTCCCAGTTCATGCCCAGGCTAACATGAACAGGCTTAGGAATATCTATTAGAAGTCTCTACCAGTTGTTGAGGATAAGAAAAATCTAAAAATTTCACCTTATTCAGTGTTATTAACTTATCTTAATATTATTAATATTCAGAAGAAATATCCTAGTTCTCCTATCATTTGCCACATTATTTCGTGTGTGTATATTTTTTTTCCCTCAAGACAGAGTCTCACTGCGTCGCCCTGGGTAGCATGCCATGGTGTCATAACTCACAGCAACCTCAAACTCCTGAGTTTGAGCAATCCTCCTGTCTCACCCTCCCAAATAGATGCGACTATAGGCACGTACCACGGTGCCTGGCTTGTTTTTTAATCTGTAGTAGGGATGGGGTCTCGTTCTTGCTCAGGCTGGCCTCAAACTTGTGAGCTCCGGCAATCCACCTGTCTCAGCCTCCCACAGTGTGAGGATTGCAGGTGTGAGCCACGGTGATCAGCCACTTTACTTTCTTTAAAAGCAGAAAGATAAAAAGGGAATTCTACTTTATTTCTTCTTGGCTCATCAGCTTTGAGTTTCCCTTTCCCTTTTATTCCTGATATAAGAACAAGTTCTTATAAAATATTACTCAGTTAAAACATAGTTCACTTGCATGAAACATTTTACCACTTTTTTGTTTAAAAGGAGGAAGTTTCTAGTCGAACTATCAGTAGTTTTGATAGTTTTAAAATATATTTACATACTTGTTAGACTCCAGAAAACTATATATTTTGACTTAAATCTGAACCTCTTTCTATATTAACTTAGGTACATTAATAAGCTGACCACATTAAACCAATTAATAATTTTGAGGTACTTAAATACATTCTATCCTCAAAGCTAAACTAAAGCCTTGGCTGTGGCTATAGATAAATGTGCTCTTTAAGTAGAGACTGAAATTTAAATACTAGGAATTATTTTACCTATTTAAGAGTAGTGATGTGTATATGCTAGTCACCTCTGATAATCATGTATAGATGCCACTATGTGAATAGGTAACTATATCAACTCAAAATAAGCATGAGCACTAAAATCCTGACCACACCCGAATCCGAGTCAATCTAAGTGAATAAAAACATATTTAAGACAGGGTTGACAATTTTTAGTAATTAGAGAGAGTTTCGTTCATCTATAGATTTGAGCTTTATCTTTTGTGACAAGGTGATATAGAGGAGCTCTGTTCATTTCCCACTTCTAAGATAAGTACACCAGCTTAACCACCAAGCACCAGATCGGGGCCTGACACAGGTAGGCTGCTTAGCACCTGCTGGCTACAATAAAAGAACCAGAGCTTCTTACGGTTGTGCACAGTCTTGGCAGGTAATTTCAAGCAACGACATATGGAAGAAACGAAGCAGCAGGGAAACTTAAATAGTAAAGAAACAAATAGTAAAGAAATGGAATAATTCAAATGGTCAACAAACATTCAAGGCAGTGCTCTGAGTCTTGGGAGAATTCCAAAAGGAATTAATCTCTTCATACCTTGGCAAGCTCATTCCATAACACAGAGAAAGATCCCGTATGCCACAAAGAGACTAGAAAGAGAGCTAATATTTGCAAAGTTTCCCTTCAGCTGGTCTCATTCCTTAAACCATATTTTATTAGTATCATTTAACCCCAGAGGTGTAATAACATAGTCTACACTCACAATGGTAACTCTATCCTTTTATCCAAATCTAATACCTTAAATTATTTAGTAATTTTTAATTTATTTTGCATGTTAGGTTAGCACACGTATCAAGATCTTGAAGGGAGAGGTCTGTAAATACTGATACCTATCCAAATTGGGAAATTAATACAAAATTTCAGTAGATCTCACTGTCTTTTGGATTAAATATCCACGATGGCGAAGAAGGTACTCAAGATTTGTAAGTTATTGCTATATTTCTATGTTTCTATTTGTAGAAAATGACATAAATGAGAAATCAGACATGTGAGGAAATAGCTACTTCTCAGGAATTCAGTAACTCACCAGTAATTTTCCACTATCAGAGTACTACACCCTAAACAAAAGATTAAAAAACAAGACCAAGAACTGAAATTGTGGGAAGAATCTAGGAAACCAAATAGCTACTTCTCTCTATTTATGCTAGAATTACCCCCTCATAATCAACCTAGTTTTGTTTTTGTTCGGGCAATCCTCCCAAACACTCTGCAAGGGGAGTTAGAAGTAGTAAAGAAAATACTCTGGCATAATGATCATTCTTGGGCAGTTTCAATAATATCTTAATGTTGTAACTATCAATTCTATTCTGCTCTTCAAATTAGCTCCTATGATCTATCATTAGTATCATCCTTCTAGACTAAACAAAAGGGGGAAAAGCAAACAGGAGATGGTCATCAACAGGATGCAAGGAAATGCTGCAGTTAGCAGAGGGTGGGGCGCATTCATTCAGCAAGTACACACTGAGCATCTACTGCGTGCGGACACTGAGCATCTACTGCGTGCGGACACTGCGCCTGCCCCAAAGTAGGAAACACAGTGATCATGTTGGGGAGATCTTATACCACAGCCAACGAATACAAAATGACAAATGGGGAGACCCGTGTGACAGTGGTATAGCCAAAGTCCGGGGATGCTCAGTTGGGAAATAGGGAACTGGAGTTCTAGCCCAAGCTCAGATGGCTCACAGGGGGACTTTAGTTTTAGTTCCTGTGCTCTTAGAACTGCAAACTAGAGCGAAAAATTTTGAAATTGTTAGCCAAGGTAGAGTATTTTCAGTAGGAAAGAAGAGTAGATGCCTACCTTTTTCCAAGGCAGGGAAAGCCTTTGCCCCAAACATATTGCGCATTCTATCTGAAAATTCTCATCTGTGTCCATTAAAGAATCTTAATTCCAGGTGTCCCAAAGTATTTGAAAGTTAGCCAAGAAATACATGGTCCCTACCTTGCTTTGGAATGATTATGGTTACAGGGGTGCCAGAACCATTTGATTGTAGGTTGAGGGATTCCATAAACAGTGCAAATCAGGGTTTGTCTGCTGCCCAGTGGGTAGAGGATCGGGTCTGGAAGTGATGACACGGCCTTTTCGTAAATCTGGGGTTTCACTGGAAAGGAGATGAAGAATGAGACAGAAGTCAAGAGCTGTCCTGACTTTCTCCAGGGCCACACATGAGGAACCACATTCTCATGGGTTTTGATGTCCGGGAAACAAACACAGAAACAACCAACAAATAAACCCTCGTGTTTGTTAAGAAAATTCTGATTTCAAAAAATAGTAGAAGTGTTTTGAGAGCTTTAATAACTTGGTTCCGTGGCATGTAGGTTGTGATCGTAATGATAAAAAATCATATCGCTTTTAGAAGGTAACAAGTAAACACAAGATAGTTATGATGGGAACAGAAGCGGTTTTTAAAATTATTTAAAATTTTAGTTTCTTTGTTGGCTTTTATATGGACTTTTGAATTTATGAATTCTCATTCATTTCTCCTCTACCAGAACCAGAAGGAAGCACAAATAGTAAACTTACCATTTACAATTAGAGTGGCAGTGAGGTTTTTAAACACATTAGACTGTTTTATGCCCAGCAATATTGTATAATCCCCGGCGTCCTCTGCAGTTACATCCTTGATAATTAATGAATAGCCATGCGCCAAATAGCGAGCAGATTTCTCAGTGGCCGGTACCCCATCTTTTAACCTGTGGTTAAAAGCATGATTAATCATTCATTTCACGCAGGCTTCTCAGCACTTTGATAAACACTGTCATTGACATTTGCAAGCTCAAGTATATCAGTTTCGAACCTTTGATCAAAAATACTGATTAAAAAAATTTAGGCCCAAACTTTTCAGTAAATGCAGGTATGATTGTTAGACTAGGTAGCACTTCCTACTTACTGACAAGGAGGAAGAGGCAAAGTGAGGAAAGAAAGAAAAGCAGTGGCTTAATGTACCCCCGGAGATGCTGGTGGCCACAGTGACTTAAGTATTAACCCAGAGGCACCAGCTCTAATTCCATCCGAGATGTTTTTCAGAGTTTTCCATGAGGTTCCCTCGGAGGGCCAAGGGCCATTGTACGTCAAATCAACTAGATCACTTATCCAGATAAAAATAAAAATAGACTTTTCTATTGTGGTCTCATGTGGAGTTCTTATTAGTTACATAAATGGTCACACCAGTTGTCCCTTTCATAAACTAAATTAAAATCAAGATTATCAAGATTCTTCCCCTGATGAAGAACAGTTAAGGCACAAAACAAAGTATAAACTTAAAGAAAAAATTTAAGGCTCGGTGCCTGTGGCTCAAGTGGCTAAGGTGCCAGCCACATACACCTAAGGTGGCGGGTTCGAATCCAGCCCGGCCCGCCAAACAACAATGAAGGCTGCAACCAAAAAAGTAGCCATGCGTTGTGGTGGACGCCTGTGGTCCCAGCTACTTGGGAGGCAGAGGCAGGAGACTCGCTTGAGCCCAGGAGTTGGAGGTTACTGTGAGCTGTGATGCCAAGGGACTCTACCCAGGGGGACAACTTGAGGCTCTGTCTCAAAAAAAAAAAAAGAAAGAAAAAATTTAAAAAACCATTTAAAATATAGAATCAGTGCCTTAGTACCATTCCATCGCATGCAGAGCTGAGATCTGAGGCTGGATGTGTCACCTGTGTCTGCTGCCACACGTGTGACTAACCTGTTGGAGCCTCAATCTTCTCAAATTTTCTAGAGGTTCTCAACAGTCCCTTATACCTCTAAAATGCTATGAATTCACTCAAATGCCCAGTTCTTTAAATGCGCATTTTTAATGTATTGGAGTTTATCGTGTCCTGTAAAAAGCTATAATATTGGAAATTTAATTCATAATCATGCATGTTATTACCTAGCTCTGCAAACAAATTTCCATTACTAGTGGGTCTCAGTTCCAAAGCAGTTAGAATTACTGTGCTAGATTTTGTGATACAAAAATCAATTTAGTATTACTTCAAATTATTTCATATTAACAAGTGAGCAGTTTCTAAAAGTGGGTTGAATTTCTTTTAGGCCCTTGCTGGTAAATTACTGAAGAAATCAACACCAGCAGACAAGTATACTCTCAAACACGGTATGAGTGAATGTATCTCCTAGATACATTACATTACTGTTCAATTTACTATTAAACTTCTATATATTACCAAAAAAAAATCCCTTTTTTACTTTGGTAACCTGAAGGCATAGCACAAAGTTTAATTTTTCTTGTTAATTCCCTATTAAATATTTGAGGAAACTGAAAACAAACACTGAACTCCTGAAATTGAAAGGCAAAGGAGGCCTGGGTGAGGAGATGTTAAAAGCGGCCCCTGCTTCTATATTGTATGGATTGTTTTCCTAATCAGTTTGCACTATGTCCTTTGTTTAAATCCTAATGACTTAAGCCAAGGATATTGTCATTTAAAAGTAATTTAACAAAATGACTGCAGATTATAAGCAGATTACATTGTTTTACATCAGGTGTTGTATGAAAAACACACAAACACACAACTGTTTAAGGAGTTTCTGAATATGTAAACTTTGAGCCAAAACAAACTTAATTAGTTCAAGTAGGTCCATTCTCTCTCCCCTCCCCCCAAAGGAATAAGTCTTGTCTCCATTAATGTTTGTTTAATTTCCAAACAAGCCTGGAACTTTCAACCCAGCTGTATGTATATAAAGGAATTATTTTCAGCATTCTCATTAGGAGAGGCCACTTCTTCAGGGTTAATGGAGCATGTTACACATTCAAGATGCTTCCCCGTCATTGGCTAACACATTCGCATTCGAGAATGTTGCCATCACAGGAAGGTACCGAGATGTGGAGGGTAGTCACAGTCGGGGACTGACCACACAGAGATGAGCCCCGCGCGGGCCCGGCTCCATCCTGGGGTGTCGCGTCCCCTCCCCGCCCTCCTCACCTCCACTACCCAGGAATCCGGATAGATCTGAGCTCTCTAGTGCTGTCTGAAGAACTCTCTTGATATTTTGTCAGAAATTCAAGTCATTGGACTCTCGCATTTCCCTACGTACAAAGCATATCTTCAACGGATACGGAAATAGTGAGGGTCCTACCATACGACTTCCGGCGAGGGAAACGCCTTCACTTTCATAGAGAGTCGGTAGGAGCGCTTGCCGGCGGTGGTTTCCAGCACCTGCTGTTTTCGGTGTTTTACAGTGATGAAGGCTTTTTCTTTGAAAGGAGAAGCGATAAATACATTAGAAAATAATAGATCTCTGCAAACAAAATTTTAGGAACTCATTAAAGGAGCGGCGATCAGAGCAGAGTGACGACTGAGCCTATGGATGGGCTCGAATGTTCATCAAACAGTAAAATGCTTTAAAAGCACCCTACCTGGGGCGGCGCCTGGGGCTCAAGGAGTAGGGCGCCGGTCCCATATACTGGGGGTGGCGGGTTCAAGTGTGGCCCTGACCAAAAACTGCCCAAAAAGAAAACAACAACGAAACAAACAAAAGAAACCTAACTGCTAAAATACCTTTAAATCAAATGGTTTCGAGTCCTAGGGACATAAAACAGTGGCAGACCAAGAGAAAGGGAACACCTTAAATATCTATATCCTGAAAACAAAAATGTGGGAAGATATTTCTTAAAAATCTACCTGGTGAATATAAATAAGATAGGAGGAAGATCCAACAGGTGTCCTAAAACAACTAATTCAATATAAAAAAATCAACCGCTCTTCACACTGTTCCCTTCTCAGAATGGAAAGAAGCTTAGTAAGTATTTTCTTTATAGAATTTGCATATTAGGATTAAACAATAATATTAGGACTCCATGATAGTGAAACCAGGGATAAAATAGCATTAATTCTAAGTAATTCATCATAGCATAGTTTTTTGTTTCTTTTTTTTTCGAGATAGAGCCTAAAACCATAGCCCTGGGTAGAATGCAGTGGTGTCACAGCTCACAGCAACCTCCAACTCCTGGGCTTAAGTAATTCTTTTGCCTCAGCCTCCCAAGTAGCTGGGACTACAGGCACCCACCACAACACCTGGCTATTTTTTGGTTGTAGTTATCATTGTTGTTTGGCAGGCCTAGGCTGGATTCGAACCCTCCAGCTCTGATATATGTGGCTAGCACATTAGCCACTTGAGCTGTAGGTGCCAAGCCACAGCATAGTTTTTGTTTTTTTTTTTTTTTTTAATTTTTTTTGGGGTGGTGGTGGTGGTGACAGAATCTTAAGCTGTCGCTCTGGGTAGAGTGCTGTGCTGTCACAGCTGACAGCAACCTCAAACTCTTGGGCTCAAGCAATTCTCTTGCCTCAGCCTCTCAAGTAACTGGGACTACAGGTGCCCGCCACAATGCCCAGCTATTTTTTGTTGTTGTTGTTGCAGTTGTCATAGCTGTTTTAGCAGGCTCAGGCTGGGTTTAAACCCACCAGCCTCAGTGTATGTGGCCGGTGCCCTATCCACTGAGCTAAGGGCACCACCCCATCATAGCATAGTTTTATATCTCTAAGTTATGGTAGTCCCTGGGAAGTTTTTCACAGATAGTAAAGGTAAAACCAATCATCTTTTTCTGTTTTATTAATATTGAACCCATGAAATAAAGAATTTCATAAATATCTTATTACCTAACTGAATTATTAACCATCATAAGCTTCTAAAGGAAAGACTCTCTGTCCAATTTGAGAGTGTTAAATTATAAAAGCACTTAATGTGACTTGGGTTTTGGCAGAAGGGAGGAAGCGACTGGCAAAGTTGTATTCATTCATGATAATGTGACTCTTGGTCAACAGAAAATTTGTTTATGGAACCCAAATGTCCACAATGACTAGAAGGCATACTGCCTGAGTTGGCAACCCTGAACCCCGGCTTACCATATATATGCACTGAGGTGTTGACAGATCTTAATGATGGTCCACTCTTCACATGACAAGTGTAAAGTCCTTTGTCTTTGTTCTGTACTCTGTCAATAGTAAGAATACTGTAGAACACATTGGTATGGGAATTGCTTTGGTCAATTCGTTGCCTTATAGAAGCTCTTTTCTTTATCTACAAAAAAAATGTATAACAAATGTAGAAGGAGTAATTGTTCATGCCTGAAGTTATATAGGATTTTAACATCTCTCAGACCATTGTTTAATAACAGCTTCTTTTTTTGATGTTGAGAAACATATCAAACCCAGGTAGAGTAAGTTGTTTGGAAACTGTATTTCTCTGTAGATATGCTTCAACTATGTAGCATAGTAGCATTTATCTAGCACTTAATTTTCTTCAAATGGATTTTCACTTGCCTTATCTCATGCATTTTTCACAGTAGCCTAGGGAGACTGGCAGGTTTGATTGTGCTTTTACTGCTTCAAGAAACTGAAACAGCAGAGACGCAGGCCAATGTAGGCCAGGAACTCAGGCCTTTGAGTATAAATCTCTCCATGCACTACCCTGTCCTGTAGGTACACCTACCACACATACAAACTGGGCAGCGATTAGCTTTAGAGTCTGGCTCAATGACAGTATTTCTCTTAAGTTACCATGAGTTTTCTGTTGCTTCCTTATGAGAAGTGAAGGGCAAGATAATGAGTCCTGGCTATCCCCACTGAGCTGGGGTAATCCTACAGTTTCATTATTTCACTATTTGAGTAGTGGTTGCCAACTTCTGCTCAGTCGTAGTAAATGGATCTGGGGACATACAAAGCCATGGACAAGTTTAGTCAACACTTGGAAGGTGTCCCGTGTTTCTCTCAGGGAAGTCCAAGAGTTGTGCTTAGGCTCAGTAGTCTCAACAGGCAACAGTGACCTGCTCACTGCTGTGAAAAGATGAGATCACATTGCCTTCTCCTTTAATTGTTCCTTTCCTTCCCCCCCCCTCCTTTTTTTTAAAGCATTACATGTTATAACACACAGTATGTTATTTCCTCCTCTCAATCCTTCCCCATGGTAGGGGAGGGGAATGGGATCACAGTCAGGGAGCATGAAAAAAAGGCTCTGGCGGCTGTCCAGAACTGATCTTTGGGATTTGAACTGAGCTCTCCTCTGTGCCATGTTTAACAAACATCTACTCACCTGTCCTTTTACTTCCCTGTTGGAACAGACAAACACGTTTAGGCCTTTCTCTGCAGGAACCACAGAAAAGACTATCACTACTATCAAAAGTCAGAGAACCATTCCCCTGACATAGACCAAGGAGAATTTCTGCCTCTCTACATATACAGGTATTACTTCTCCTTCCGAGAACTCTTTCATTCTCAAATTTGAGGAACAATGGTATTGTTTCTGATGTGGAAAATAGCACATCTCTGCGTTAGAAGTGCTCTGTCCATTACTGCAGCCACCCATTACATGTGGCTGTTAAAAATAAAATAAAAAATTCATTTCTCAGTTGCTCTAGCTACATTTCAGGTGTTCATTCACCATATGTGGCCAGGGGTTATTGTATTGGACAGCACAGATAGAGAATACTCCCATCACAGCAAGTTCTACTGGATAGTGCCAATTTTGAAGACTATTGGTGCTCAATAGATATATTATCAATACTCTTTCCTACAGTAGCAACACTAATAGGTTAAAAGTATCTTCCCCTCATGGCATTTATTGAGCCTATTTAATTTCTATCAAAACCCCCCAAAATCCTGCTACAAGTAATAATAGCTTTTTTTTTTTTTTTTGAGACAGAGTTTCACTCTGTTGCCCTGGGTAGAGTGCCATGGCATCAGCCTAGCTCACAGCAACCTCAGACCCAAGTCTCTAGTGATCCTCTTTCCTCAGCTTCTCAAGTAGCTGGAACCTTATAGGTGTGTACCACCACACTTGGGTAATTTTTTCTATTTTGGTAGAGACAGGATCTCACTCTTGCTCCAGCTGGTCTCCAACTCATGAGCTCAGGTGATCCTACCGTCTCAGCCTCCCAGAGTGCTAGGATTACAGGTGTGGGCCACTGTGCCAGGTCTAGCATTTTAATTAAAAGGAAACAGCATCACTTTTTAGAAAATAGTTTGTGACTGACAAATCCTTAAAGCAGGGTACTTGTTACATCTTTTTGTTGTCAAGTTATTCTATTTCCATGGCAGGAAATATTGATGGAAAAAAACTAGCTTGTAGGGACCGAGGCATTAATCGTTCACACATAATTTAATCATAAATTGACTTTGTGATTGGGGAATCTGAAGGATTACCTAATGATTATCCTTAGGATATGCTACATAAATCATACTAATATACAAGAAGTGGAGGCTGGAACTACTGTCAAACTTTTCTTAATGGTTGATCATAGTTCCCGCATTTACATAGTTTTAAAATAAGTATTGTTTGCAAGGATGTTTGAATGAGGGAAGCTGACTTAGTCTTCATTCTTTTCATTCTTCTGAAGGACAGAATTGCTCCTCTGACACTGAACAAACGGAATATTGGATGGCTGAATTGTAATATCTTCTCCAGACATGCTCCAATCAGGTGCCTGACTGTCTGCCAGTATCTTAAATGAAGGCGCTGACAAAGACAACCTTCTGGAAAGTAGTTGTTGTTGTTGTTACAAAAGACAGTCCCTGCCTGGCATTTAGTGATAAATTTCTCTCTCATCTCTAAACCCTAGAGAATAGTTTCCAAGAATGAAACAATCCCTTTTTCCACACATCATCAGGCAATAGAAATACCAGGCTAGACACTTCCAAACAAAACTGCTAGACATCAAAAGACGGTATCTATGCATATCACCCTCTGAAATCCCAGGCCAGGAAAGCACCCAAACCCAACCCAAAGCATCTTTGTTGACTGACACTCCCACGGGAGTCATAATTTTCTGATTTTTCTCATCTCAAAAACCCAGGGGGATTTTACTTGCTAAAAATAAATATTGTTGTACAGAAGAAATAGAAAAATGGGTCACTCACTTCACCAGGGTAACTCCAGGTCATTTGAACTCTGGTGTTCAAGGGAGTGGTAGCAGTACAGTTGAGGGTCAGAGTATGACCTCTGAGTAATCTGACTGGGCTCAGTGTGCTTATTTGAACATCTGTGATCTTATTGGCTGCAAGAAGAAGAGAGAAAAAAAAAATTTAATGAAGGTTTCATTAAGCAGATCGACCCTAGAGCATTCTGGCTTACGTTCACACCTTTGCAGTATCACTTACTTTGTCGATGTGTGAGATAGTTCGTCTGATACACATGTCCATTGACTGTTGCTTCACAGGTCAGAAGCCCTATTTCTCTGTACGTTGCTCTCGATATTATAAAGCCCTTTCTACTGTCCCAGATTACTCTTTTTCCATCAGGGATCAGAGTGTCAAGTGGAAACTGAAAAGGAAGAAACGCGTTAATAAAATCCTATATTAGCACTCTGGGGAAACTACTCTTTCACTAGTGGTTTGTGAAGATGTAATTTTCATCTGAAATAATACAGATTAAAAACCCTAATGTGTTATAATTGGTTCTTTAGTTTTCTTTGCACATAACAAAATATATTTGTATTGTGATAAATCATAGTAATTTTGCTAATTTATTATCAGCCTTGGCAATAAGTGGCAGCTACACAGGATAGTCCTGGTTGTCCTGTCAGACTTCTAGGGGGAGCCTGGAACTCTCTGGCCTCTGGAAATCTTCACAATAAACTGGTCTGATACTCAACAGAGAGACCAGTTAGCATTTTTCCACTGGGCCTACCAGGTTATCCTTATGTGTCTTCATCATCTGGAGCCTTTAATAGGCCGCAACTTGTTCTCCCATCAACTTGTTTCTCTGCAGGGTTTACTAAAGTGGTGGCTGTTTTCAAAGGACTGTGAATAATTTCAGGTCCTCTAAGATTCATGGCATTAACTTGGCACTCACTGGGGTTATCATTCTATGGATTCTGGTGCTCAGAAGGAAGCTATCGATTCTGCCTTTGGGGAGGAAAACCCCAAAAGCTGAAGCTGCCAAGAGTGAAGACAGCCTCTGGGGGCCAGGACACAGGAATGAATGAAGTGCTCTGAAATTCTAATTTCAAATATGGCGAGTCCAAACAGAATAAAAGAATTCACAATTTGACTTTCTCCTTCACCTGTGTTTGACATCAAGGACTTAATTTTTAAAGAGTATAGTACAAACACCCTGTTGGGGGATTAAACTTCATAAAGGGTCATTGATCCATACAGTGGCCTAGCCAGACTCTCCTGAGGCCAGGTTGCCAGTCCAATTTCAGAGATGACTATCACTCTTACATATGCTCAAATGGAAAAGGAAAAACAGAATGAGATTACCTTCCTTCATCAGATTATTTAAAAACAAACAAACAAAAAAACGCCAAACAGTCATAAAGAACTTTTCTAGCTTTTTTTTTTTTTAAACATGGCTTCTCTCTGTCTCCTAGGCTAGAGTGCAGTGGTGTATCATATCTCAATGTAACCTCAAACTTCTGAGCTCAAGCAATCCTCTTGCCTCAGCCTCCCAAGTAGCTTGGACTACAAGCATGGGCTCCCATGCCTGCTAATTTTTCTATTTTTTGTAGCAATGGAGTCTTGTTCTTGCGTGGGCTGGTCTTAAACCCCTGGCCTCATGTGATCCTCCTCCCTCAGCCTGCTAAAGTGCTAGGATTACACAGCACCCAGTTCTACTTCCATTTTTAAAAGTACTCTTGATATCCCTCTCTCTATCCAGTTATCTTTTATATTTATTTTATATTGCTTGTTGAAGTAGCTAATCTGGATTTGTGATCCTCTGGCAGAAATTTCTAGTCAAAAAGTCACTGGTTCCTCCTTCCCAGTGAATATATCTACACTGGTATGTGTTACCTGTGTTACTTGGGTTTGAAATTAATTACATACTGTTTACGAAGAACTCAAAGCAAGGAAAGGCTCTGTTTCATGTTTTACTAAGTCAAGATTCTACCTGTAAACTCAGGAATATTCCGCATTCAGTGGGAAAAGAACATTCTGTTGTAATTTAGTTCCAACAATTAAGGGAAAAACTCAAGAAAAATTCAAGTCAGGGATTCAAATCTATGGTGCTTTAAAAATAAGTGAAAAAAACATGTGCCAAATCTATAGGCAAGGTTTGTTGACAGATTCCTCAGCACGATTCTGATCTATCCATTACTGCCACTAGTTGTATTCCATTGACAAAGTAACTTTATTTTGAACTGACAGGAGCTAAAACAATAAGAGACTGTGTAGCCTATTAGCTTGGCTGGCACTGCACTGTCATAAGGGTGCAGCCTCATGAGCAGGTTGATCTCAGCATGGACAGAGGGCATGCATGGTGGCCTGTCTTCAGCTGACCATGGTGCTGTCAAACCAGGTATAGGAAGAGGAGGAGAGGACTGTGAATTAGAAGAAAGGGGTCAAAGGCGCCAGCCACGTACACCTAAGGTGGCGGGTTCGAATCCCCAGCCCGGACCCGCCAAACAACAATGACGGCTGCAACCAAAAAATAGCCGGGCGTTGTGGCGGGTGCCTGTGGTCCTAGCTACTTGGGAGGCGGAGGCAGGAGACTCGCTTGAGCCCAGGAGTTGGAGGTTGCTGTGAGCTGTAATGCCACGGCACTCTGCCCAGGGGGACAGCTTGAGGCTCTGTCTCAAAAAAAAAAAAAAAGAAGAAAGCGGTCAGTAAGAGAAATGGAAGGGAAAAATACTAATTTCATCTCAGCAAAGGTATGTAATGGGTTAGAATGTTTTCGATAATAATATGTGCCCAACCAAATTTGGATTTTACTTCTCTTTTTTTAAAAAAATTGTGCATTGTCGATCTTAGGCACAAGAACAGAGTAAATAAACACTCTACTGCCTCAATTTTTGATGTGTGGTTGGAATGTTCCTTTTGACAAAAAACCTGCACTGGGGCTCACATGAAAGAGAGAAGTTTCCCCCCTCCATAATGTTTTTCATATTCATAATTCTATAGCGATTGCTATTTCAGACTAAGAGTAGTAATGCCATGCTATTGAAAACATGACTTGATAGTCAGGTGTAAGTAAATGATACTGAGAGCTAACCCTGGATTAGGGCTTATCTTGTACTTAGAACAGAACAGACCCTCTTCTAGGTGCTTTCCATACGTTGCCTCCTTTGGCCTTCCTAACAACCACGTGAGGCGGAGCTACTGTGATCACCCCATTCCCCAAATGGGGAAACTGAGGTGGAGAGAGGTTCAAAAATTGGTTAGTTTGCCAAGCAGGTAAGTGGCAGTGTGGAAAGAATTCAGGCAGCATGACATCAGCCTCTGCTCTTAACCACTGTGGACTTCTCCCTTCATAAGCTAGACCATTGCAGAAGTCTAGGTGCCCGGCATGGCCTCGGAAGTCCCTATCACCCTGGAAACCTTGTTTTTTGCTTGACCAATGAAGCGTTTCACTCTCCTTTCATGGCGATGACGCACAGGTGTAATGGAGGTCAAAGCCTGTGTCAGATGCACTGTGTTGAGGGCTTAAATTAACAACTAGGAGAGTGAACTCAAGGGAAGACGACTCCACATCAGTGGGTGATACTGACAATCACTCTTCAAACCTTTTCAACTCCATCACCACCAGCACCAAGGTTTCCTGAGTACCTGCTGTGAGATGGACAGTGCTAGGTGCTGCCTTGGGAAGTCTTACATTTTTTTTTTTTTTTTTTTTTTTTGAGACAGGGCCTCAAGCTGTCCCCCTGGGCAGAGTGCCGTGGCATTACAGCTCACAGCAACCTCCAACTCCTGGGCTCAAG